CGCGTGCACGAGCAGCTGGATAGAAAACGTGTAATTTACGCAGCTCATTTACGCACAGATAGAAGAGTTTGTTGAATCTGACGTGACATGTTCGTACGAACCCTTTGTACGAACAAAAGTAAGAGAAATTTAGGAGAAGAATACGAACATGTTCTTGCATGAGGCCCATTGAGTTCGATGACTTCTAAACATATCAAAATAGAGAAGAAAGGAGCTACTAAAGGATGTAAAATAATAAATAATACAAAAAACTTGTGGGAGATCRTTCAACAAATAATTAGGAAAATTTGAAAAAGGTCAGTAAGATAACTGTGTATGAATAAGAGCATTTTGGAGAGGCTGAATCTCCAAATTAAAGCTGGGTAGAGTTTAAAAAACTGTGCCTAAAAGCAGTGGACTGATGTCAGCAGAAAATTACTCAAGGAAAAACTGGACACACTTTGAAAATCCCATATCCCACAGTTCATAGTATTGTCAAAGGTTTGTAAGAATCTGGCACTGCTGACAAAATCAGTCTGATTCTGTTCTGGACATGACTACATGCGCTTGARAACACTTCCACAAATCATTGTTTTTAAACACAGTTTTGTCTGCCATCCACAAAGGATAATTAAAGCTCATGAATATGCAAACACCATCCTGAAATGCTGTTGTCGTCTGTGGGCCACAGCCTGAGGCAAAGTGGAAAAAAATGTTCTGTGGGCAAATGAAAAAAAGATAATAAAATTTATAAATATACTGTATTTGCAAACCATAGACATCACACCCTTTGTACTAAAGAGGAGAGGGACCATTCTGTTTGTTGTCAACACCCAGTTTAAAGGCTTGCCTCTCTGTGGTATGGAGATACAGTACATTAGTTTCTATGGCATGTGTAGTTTACTAATCTACAAAAGAACCTTCAATCCAGAAAAGTACAGTATATACAGGATTTAAAATAACACATGAACTCATCCTGACAGCATCAGTTTCAATGAAGGCCTTACATATTTCAGCGAAGCAAGGCTGAAACACAGACTGCACCCATTATAAAAGCATGACTCTGTAATGGAAGAGTCCAGGTGCTGACTTGACCTGACTGCAGTCCAGACCACTCACCACCTGAAAGCATTTGCACTGTAAAAAATGAAATGTTGGATTTACTTAACCATGTTATGTTACCTGGTTCCACTTAACTGAATTGAGTAAATTCAAAGCAATATACCAGTTTTTTTAGCCAAAGAACATGAGTATGTTGCTTTGAATTTACTCAACAGTTAAGTGGAACCAGGTAACATAACATGGTTAAGTAAATCCAACATTTCATTTTTAGAGTGTGGGACATAATTGTGTGAGGATTTCAGATTACCCAATCTCTCCAGCAGCTTTCTGAGTGAAAGGGTAGTGCTTTTTGGAACTATCTGACTCACATTCCACTGATGATGTGCTGGGGTATTTGAGTGTGTGCTCCATCAGACCTCCACTAGAACATTTCTGCTCACACGGTAAACTACAACTCAGCTAGACTAGTCACCCCAGTGGATGGTTTCAACTAATCTTTGACACTAGATCACTCTCAATAGTCCACACACAGCAGGGGTAATTCATAAATTTATCTTTAGAGCCATCACGATAATCAGAGCATCCTTAAGATAGTCAGAAAAGCCAAATTAGGCSCAAAATCRGCACAATTATCTTGCCATGTGAATCTGCCTTTACTGACGTTTTGGATCTTTTGAGCCCTCAGTCCTGGGACCAATACGTTCAACCTTGTGAATAACTCCTACCAACCTTCATCACCAGCCCTGTGTTAGTACTGCTACCTCTATTGGTTCCTCCCTGGCAAATCTTTACTCCATTCTTGTCTCCAAGCCTGTAAGACGACCAAGTAAGACAGAACTCTGATCACATTCATCCCACACTGACCTCTGAAGATCAGATGCTTTCCAACCTGATTCTCCCTGGCATCCTAAAAATACCTATCATTACAATAAAACATTTATCTTTACTCAAGTGTGTCTGGACAGATTTTTTTCCTTGGTACTAAAATGTCATACAATGTTATGAAACGAAAAAATCCATCAGGATTGTTGATCAGCTTGAACTTTACATCAGACAAGAATGGAACAACATGCCCCTCCAAAAACTCCAGCAGCTGGTCCCCTCGGTAGTGTTTGCAGACTGTTGTTAAAAGAAGAGACGATTTTAGGCTTTGGAACACGTAGTTCATGTGAATTTCCTACACTTTCTAAAAATTGCTAATTTTAGGTATCAGGGTTAATGGTTAATATAAGTACTAGGGTCAGGGACAGGATGTCCACAGAGAATAAAGGTAATTTTAGGCTTTGGGAYGGTGTTTTTGGTGCATTTCCAACACTTTCTGAAATTATGACAACGAATTCCGCCCCATCTCGTCAATWCCTGATGCAAGGGGTTACCCGACGCGTCAAAATCGGTCGCAGAGGGAACCTTGGGGGTAAAGCGCCAATATGTGACAAATTGGGAGTGTGAATGGGTTGAGTTTGGGATGTGTTACCAAAGAATGGTACCATTTATTAATTTAAACATTTGATCTGCTTGCTTTGTTTTATTTTTGAAAAAGATGAAATTTGAAAATCCTTTTTGCTTTTAATTGAAATTTTCCACAACATCCCAACTTTATTGGAATTGTAGCTAAAATGAAATGTTCTTTGCAGTTTATCTGCTCTGTCACAACAGAATTTCATCTCCATTGAAGCATGTGATTGGTTTGCCGATCATTCCGCTTCTGAAAGCTGACCATGCTCGTGCTGACTGTGTGTGTGTGTGTGTGTGTGTGTGTGTGTGTGTGTGTGTGTGTGTGTGTGTGTGTGTGTGTGTGT